TGCTGCTCTCTGATCAGTTTGGTGTTTTATGGAGGACGATGAGTTTTAGCTCTGAATCCTTCAATCTGAACCGCTCTCTGAAAATAAACGGTAAAATAAAAAGTAAGTTCTTAGAATGTCAGACTTGTCCTTTAAAGTTCTGATCTGGAACTTCTCCACATTAAAGCGTCTAAGAAATACCAAATGTTCTATATGTTGTTGAGTCGTCCTGTCCTGTGTCTCTGAAGAGCGTCGCTGAATCGCTGAATGTTTAAAGTCAAACTGTTTTATTCAGAGTTTCTCCTGGTTTAATCTCCTGGTGTGTTTGTTGTGGAGAGGAGGAAACTCTGAGGATCATCCAGCTGCTGGTAAAAACCTGCTGAACGTCTGGTTCATGAGTGATCAGAGAAACAGTCAGAACAAAGGTTAGCATCAGTCTCAGCTCCTCAGAGTCTCTGTCCTCTGCACAGCGTCGCTCAAACTCTTTAAATGTGAAGCTGCTTCATTCAGAGTTTTTAACAGTTAGAATCACCTGAGTCACTGACACTGAGGGAATCCAACAGCTGCTCCTTCAACCGAACAAATGAAGAGGCAGAGTAACATCATGTAAAGTAACTAAACCAGTTTCCTCTGTTTGACAGGTGAGGTTACCTGTCTGTTATTTCATCACCTGTGTTTGTGTCTCACCTCAAACGGCAGCTCCGACAGGTTGTGGTTTCCCGCCAGTTCGAGTCTCTCCAGGTTCTCACAGTTCCCGAGCTCTGGAGGAACCTTGCACAGACGGTTGTAGCTGACGTTCAGCTCCCTCAGCCCGGTCAGTTTACCTGAGGGGACAGGTGATGGTCGATTGATCGTCAGTCTTCAGTTCCACCGACATAAACTACTGAACTTTGTGTTTCAGCCTCACCGATCTCAGGCGGCAGCTCGGCGATGGCGTTTTTGGGGATCTCGAGCACGGTGAGCTGGGTGAACAGAGCCAGGTAGTCGGGCAGCCGGCGGATCTTAGTCCCTGTGACGTGCCACTCCCTCAGGTAGGTCATCCACTGCAGCTCCTTGGGGAAGTCCTGGAAAATACTCAGGTATCACCACGTGTTGTCTCACAGGTGAGTGTGTCGCTCTCTCCTGAAGCTGTTAGCTTACCGTCCAACGGTCTCCCTCCAGCTGGAAAGTCAGTTTGTTCTGATCTGGATCTTTCTGATCCTGCTGGACTTCCTGGTCCTGCTGCTGGTCTGGGTCTGATAAACAAAAAACAACAACAACAACATGGACAAACACACAACAACACCTGTGTGCCTGTGTACACCTGTATTTACCTGAGTGTATTTACCTGTATACACCTGTAGATCAGTCAGCGTAGACCTCTCCAGGTAGTGGTGCAGCAGGTTCCGCTCGTTGCTCTTCAGTGTTTTACAATAGATGCGATACTGCCACTCCTGGTCGATCCTGCACACACACACACACACACACACACACAGAGACAGTTAATGGATCATCTGCAGCGTCGTATTGATTTCAGATCAGGTTTCTGATGAGGCCTCAGACCGTCACTGTCCCAGCGCAGCGATGAGGATATAAATAACAGTCTGTGTTCATGCTACTAAAACCAGCTCTGACTAACAACAGTCAGCTGTGTCTGACTCACGCTAAATAGTTTGTTCGCTGCTCAAGAATCTCAAACACTGAACTAGTTTGAGCTCAGACAAGACTGTGTGTACTGTATTTGTTAGTTAGTGTGCAGGTATATATTTATACCTATATATAGTATATATAGTTATATATATTATATATATATTATAACACAAGGACGACAAATCCTCCTTTAACTGCAAAAACAAAAACAAACAGGACTGAAATGTTGAAATAAGAAAATTGTACTTTGACCATGGTAACTGTTGTACTCTGATAAACTGACGACAAAATGACAACTCCCTACATTTGAAGCAGTCGTGAAGTCCTACTGTCTATTCCTTGATTATTTCTATCCCTTTGGTTCGTAAGAGTCCAGGGATCAAAAGAATCAAAAGCATTTTTCATAAAAGGTTGTGAATATTGTCGTGTGAAGAATCGTCTTCTTCTTCCAACATAAAAACTATTTTTCAAGTTCTGGCTTTGGGTACGTTTGTTTTTGTTATTTAATGCCCGTCGATGAACTCCTGCCTAGAGACAACAACAAAAAAAAAGAAAAATCTGATTGGATAACTATTTTGATGGTTTTCACAAGCTTCACTTCAGAAGCTGCTATAGCTAGCAGCTAGCGCCCTCTGTTTGTGGGGACAGCTCCAGCTGGGGACAGACCACCAAAAACAGGGACATCTGGTCACCCTAATTTAAAAGTGTTGATTATAGCAGCTTTAACATTCTCTTTACATAAAAAAATTAATTTTTGCCCAAAAAGTCTGAATCTAAATAATGTTTATACAACAATAAAAAAGGTCATTTGTTAGAACTATCATTATTTATGTTTTGTTCAGACAAGATTTCTCTGGGTAAAATAAAATGCTTCTCATAGAAAATGAATCCAGACGGAGCTTGTGGAGGTTTATTGCCGCTCTCCATCCTGTTGTATCATGTTTAATCCAGGAAGTATTTAGTCTCAGCTTCTGTCTGAGGACAAGATCTATGATGGTCCTTTAAGCTAACAGCCAGGACCTGCTTCCTGCCAGATGAGACATTCAAACCTCAGAGAGATCAGAACTAATGGTGCGTTCAGGTGCTTCTCGCCAACTCATGAAGAAGAAGTTTATCACATGGCCCTTTAACCTTTAATAAAACGTTGTGCTAAGCTGCGAGCGGCTTCATGATCCCTGAGCTTATGAGTTGTGATATTTCCCTTCAACACATGAAGCTGCTGTTGATTCATGCGGCAGGTTGAAGGTAAATAAATGTTTCCATATAACATCTTACCTGGCAAGGGCGCTCTTCTCCACCCTCTCCTGCTCCTTCTTCTGTTTGTGTCTGTATTTCTTCACTCGGACCTCCCAGATCCCTCTCATCAGAGACAGGTCGTAGACTGGGACCTCCACCTTCCTCTCCAAACCCATCTCTGCTGCTGGAGACAAGAGGAAGAGGAGGAAGAGGAGGTGTAATTACCAGAAGATGACAAGTGTTCATTTCCAGCCACGTTAGCGATATGGCTTTATGATTGGCAGTGTCGGTTTGTCCACCATTTACAATCCGGCTGAAATATCTCAACAGTGATTGGATGGATTACCATGAAATATGGTTCAGACATTCAATAACATTTGAATGAAATGATGTCTGGTTGTCAGAGGAGGATGAAGGGAAGAAGCCTGGACACTTCAGAAACACCTGAGGTAACAAGCGCAGCGGTTCCCGACCTGACGTCCAGCTGTGCTAACGATGCTAATGGTAGCATATCTGTGCCACAGTGATTAAACCGGCAGTTCTCCACACAGGCCCCTCCTCTTTGACCATTTTTGGATTAGCTAGGAGTTTGGGGGCGGGGTCAGACACTGCCAAGATGGCGACAGTGGAGCAGCTCACCCTGAGTTTCAGAAACTTGCAGGTGACATCACAGAGGCGATGTCCATCTTTATTTACAGTCTGTGGTGTCTACGCTCATTGGTGTGCTTTATAGGTTAGAAGAAGTCTTCACTCAAGGTCCACTTACTAACTTTTTATGTAACTTTCAACCACATCTCACAGAGTTGGAAAATGGTTCCAACTATTTTTAAATCTTAATCTAAATCCAGTGGATTTACTCTTGAACTTGATTATGAGGCGAAATGAAAATGTCACGTTGGTTTTCAGGCTCTTGGAGGTGAATGAGTGTTTGAAGGTTCAGATGAAGTCATGCACAGACAAAGCTGTAGTTCAGAGGTCGTGTTCCTCTCCGGTGTAATGAGCTGTCTGACCTACATGCAGCAGTGAGACTCATCATTCATCAGGACATTAATATGACAAACATGAGGCTGTTGATGTCGCTCACGTTCTGAGGCGTCTGCCAACATCACAGCAAAGTCCGCTGTCCGTCAACAAGAGAAAAAAACAGGGCTTTTACTTTGAAAAATGCAAATGCGACAACAACAACTATTGGATGGATTGTCTTTAAATTTCAACCTCAGCACGAGGCTCAGCAAGTTACACCCACATATTCAATGTTAGCATGTAGAAATGCTAACGAGCTGATTATGAGATGAACGAGGTGGAACTCTACTTCCCATGAATCACCAGTTACAGGCTGGAGGACAAACATCCTGAACCGCCGCACAGGTCCAAACCTCTGATACGACCCACACCAGTGTCTCTATGACAGCGGCGTACCAGACCTTGGTCGACCTTGTTGTCATGGTTATAGTAATTAACATGCAGCTAAGAACCTCTAGGTTCCTCCTAGATCTCAAATGTTCCTCTGGGCTTTCAGGATTCCTCAGTGTGAAAAACTGGTTCCTCAAAGAACCCATCATTAGTTAGGGTTCTACATTTGGATATCAGACTATGAAGAACTTTTAAATTTATTTGGTTAAGTTCAGGAAAAGATCATGGTTTGGTTTAAAATAAGTACTTCCTTAAGATTAGATGACCTCCGTTGTCATGGTTACAGCAGTAACAACATAGTTAAGGTTGTGGAAGGATCATGGATAAAAGAAACAACATAATGAAACCGGTTGAGAAGGTTAAAGAGGAAATGTCTCTTTGGTGGAACAAGATGAAAATGTTGGAACACCTAGTTTAGTCTTTCACAATAAAATATAATTTAATTTATGTCAAATCTTAATCAGCTCTCAGATAAATGAAGAGCAGTAAAAAGATCAATATTCTCCATCTGAAATGAGTCGAAGTTTAAAGTCACAAAAACTGCAAAATAAAGTACAAGTAACTAAAAATTGTAATTAAGTAAAGTTCTTGTGTAAATGTACTGAATCGAATCTGTTAGAACCTGTTAGAACCTGTTAGAACCTGTTAGAACCTGCAGTGAGTCCAGACAGAAACAAAGATCCATGTGTTTTCTTACCTGTGTCTCTGTTAACGTCGTCCTGTCTGCTCACTTTCACCAGCTTGTTTACTGAGACTGAAACACACATAGCTGTGATCTGTGTGTGTGTGTGTGTGTGTGTGTGTGTGTGTGTGTGTGTGTGTGTGTGTGTGTGTGTGACACAGCATGCTATTTTTACCAACAGAGATGTGACCCCTGATGTGTCACATGATGCCCACACACAGTATTTATGTGGATCACTCACATACTGATCTTGTTTATGTAAAAGGAGTAACGTGTGTCTGAGGCCGTACGGTGGCCTCAGAGCGCCATAGCAGACAAACTGAGTCACCTCCTGTTTAAAACATCCAGCGTCATGTGAAATGTTAGTTTCACAGCTGTGAGCCTCTCTGTTGTTCTTCCTTCAGCGTAGATCCATAAATATCCAGCTGCTACAGAACATTTACAACCTGTGTGTTTAAATACAAACACACACACTGATGGTAGATTTAACCTGCTGTTGATGCAGAACGACAGAAAATCAGATTCACACTGAGAGCAGAGCTGGAAATAAATCAATATAATAAAGATACTGTCATATAAGACTTAATATTATCTACTACTTGATTTTCATAATGTGGTTATAAATGTTTTTATTACAGGTTTTATTACAGTTAGCTGATTTAGTGTAGTTGTCATATTCATTTTATTTTGAAAGTCCTTCCTGTACTAGTTGTGATCTGCACTGCACACAGACAATAATAAATATAATACGGTAACAATATTAATTTAATGTTTTATCCATCCACAGCTCATTGAAAAGTTCAGTTTATTTACACAAATTAAAAAAGTCTAAAGTCTAAAAAGATCATTTTTATTTTTTTATTTCACTTGATAAATAACAAACAAATGTTGTTAAAAAAAAATAACAGCCGTCAAACAGTTTTCTGCTCGTACTGTAGATTTCCTGAAGGTCCAGAACTGGAACAGCACTGATTTTATGAGACTGGTTATATCTTAGATTAGATTTGATTTGATTTGATCTTATTTTATTCTATCTTATTTTATCTTATCTTACTTTAGGACTTTTTTAAATTTATTTTTTATCTTATTTTACTTTAGGACTATTTTTTATTTTATTTTCTTTTATTTGTATCAGGGGTCTGCACATTAACCAACATCACTGTGAATGTGTCAGTGGTATTTTAAATGTTGGTCCTCAGCCATGTGTTTTCTCTGGCTGGTGTCTGAATTATTAAGTGATGGATTCATCGGTGTGAGCCAGTTAGTGGTTATTATTATTATTGTTATTATTATTATTATTATTATTATTAGAAGTAGTAGTAGTAGTATTTACATGTGAGTAGAGGCTGTAGCAGCTTGTAATTTAGCCCCTTTACTCCTGGTTTACAGGTCTCAGGTCAGCTGTAGTTCCACTGCTGCTCCACATGAGGGCGCTGCCACACAGACAAACAGAGGCTCTGGTGTACAGAGACACAACTGTGTAAATAATCTGTCATGTTTAACTCAGAGGTTTCACATAGCCAACATCAACAAATCACTCAAACAAACTGACATCACTCAACTGACAAACGCTGCCATTTTCATATTGTCCTATTGTTTGGCTGATGTAACATCATATGGTGATGTCAGGTTGTGATGTCATGAAGTGATGTCAGGTTGTGATGTCATGAAGTGATGTCAGGAAGTGATGTCAGGAAGTGATGTCATGAAGTGATGTCAGGTTGTGATGTCATGAAGTGATGTCAGGAAGTGATGTCAGGTTGTGATGTCATGAAGTGATGTCAGAGTGTGATGTCAGGTTGTGATGTCATGAAGTGATGTCAGGAAGTGATGTCAGAGTGTGATGTCAGGAAGTGATGTCAGAGTGTGATGTCAGGAAGTGATGTCATGAAGTGATGTCAGGAAGTGATGTCAGAGTGTGATGTCAGGAAGTGATGTCAGAGTGTGATGTCAGGAAGTGATGTCATGAAGTGATGTCAGAGTGTGATGTCAGGTTGTAATATCATGAAGTGATTTCAGAGTGTGATGTCAGGAAGTGATGTCATGAAGGGATGTCAGGAAGTGATGTCAGAGTGTGATGTCAGGAAGTGATGTCAGTGATGTCAGAGTGTGATGTCAGGAAGTGATGTCATGAAGTGATGTCAGGAAGTGATATCAGAGTGTGATGTCAGGAAGTGATGTCAGAGTGTGATGTCAGGTTGTAATGTCATGAAGTGATGTCATGAAGTGATGTCAGAGTGTGAT